GCTGTTTTCACATAGGTCTTCAAATTTGGTAAGTAGTGAGGTCTAGGAACATGATGTTATTCCCAGGAATGGGAATTAAGAATCCTGATTTTCTTTAACTCATTCATTTATTATGTTGGATTATATGTTTTATTGTTCAGAGTATGGGTTTTTCCATCTTTATGATGGGAATAAAATATTTTAAAAATGACTTTACAACACTATAATTAGTAATAAAACCCCGGTGCATCATTTATATCACCATTAATTTCTAAGCCTTTTCAGGAAACTTTGGGCCATTCATGCTTTGGATTTCATCTAATCTCTCTAAGTCAAAATAACTTTTGGTCATTATATATCAAGAATCTATTTTGGGGGTGCCTGGGTGGCTCAGTCAGTTAAGCATCTGCCTTTGGCTCAGGTCATGATCCCAGGGTCCTGGGATCGAGCCCCACATCGGGCTCCCTGCTCCGCGGGAAGCCTGCTTCTCCCTCTCCCACGTTCCCTGCTTGTGTTCCCTCTCTCGCTGTGTCTCTGTCAAATAAATAAAATCTAAAAAAAAAAAAAATTATCTAGAGAGCCTAAAATAACAACAAAAACAGGCCCTATTTACGCCCTGCCCCTGGAACAATTAAATCAAATTCTCTAGAGGGGAAGCCTAAGGCACTCTTTTTTAAAGAGCTTTCTGCTAATGTATATCCAGAGTTGAAGACCGCTGATAGAGATGCTTAATGTTGAGTGTAATTTTCATTAATGGAATCCTGATACTGCACATTAGCAGCAAAGGACAGAAAAGTCATATAAAAATTCCTGGGAGATTTATGTTGGAATCTTCAAGTGATCAGCAGTTGATAAAAGACTATTCCCTTCTGAAATAATCTGAAAAGAGGAAAGCATCCTGTTCCTACATTAGTAGACTCTGCTAGTGAAAGGTCTCAATCTGTTTATCCTCCATTGTTAAAATCTACAATCTCATCCTCAATCTTTATTTCTAAAAATATGCTCTGAAAACAGTTGTGTGGGTTTTTTTTTTCCTTTTTAACTCATTTGTCCAGAAAACCTTACGTGATACGATGCTAGTTGTAGTTCTTTCCTTAGGTTTTTCCCTTATCTCCTTACATTTAGAATATCAATTCTTCTTTTTTAAAAAATTATTTATTTTAGAGTGCACACAAGCAGTGTTAGGGGCAGAACGAGAGGGAGGGAGAGACTCCTCAAGCAGACTCCCCTCTGAGTGCGGAGCCTGAGTCAGACCTCTATCCCAGAACCCCAAGATCACAATCTGAGCCGAAATCAGAAGTCAACCGCCTCACTGATTGAGCCACCCAGGTGCCCCTAGAGTATCAATTTTTGACCCTTAAAGATCTTATTTCAGATAAGTTAAAAGCTCAGTAATTTAGTTCAAATTTGAACACAGTTGGGAGAATGCTTTCCACTTAAACAAATGGCATTGGCCAAGCCCCTTAATCTGTTTTGACATTCAGTGTTTGTCAGTAAAATGGGAATGACTTCACAAGATTGTTGGAGGACTAAATGAGAACCTGTGTAATGTTAAAATATCAGGGACCTAATCAACATTTAACAGAAATGAATTATTGCTTTATTATTTCTAATAATAAATGAAATCTTGGTCCTTCTTTCCTTTTCCAGTCAAACCTATATTGGGTGTTCACTGTGTCACCAACATTCTGGTAAGTGCCAGAAAAACAACCATGAATGAGGGAGACACTATCTGTATCCTTCATGAGTTTTCCTTGACTCCCTCATTGGAGACATCCTAAACTAAAACCTACTAATTGAGTGACTTCTTTAGATAGACACACACACACACACAATGATAGGATTATTTGCCCAATTGATGAAGGACTTTTCTAGTTTATAATTTATTCCTAAAAAAAAAAAAAAAAAACAACTTTCTTCCAACCACCTCATTAATTCCATCCTTCTTTCCCATTCCCGACCCTACCCACAAATATGACTTCTGGCATATAATAGTTTGGGAAAACCATCATTGTTATAGAAGTATCTAGTTCTGTCATCTCCCTTTACTCTGTACTTTCCCTGGACCCTTTCCTGGTTTATGTGTTGTTAAAACATCCTAAGGAGACCATTCATTCCTTCTCAAATTCCTAATCTAGCTTACATCTGGCTGCTCAGGAGATCTAGTATCACTAGCAGCACCGGGGAAGGGGATTTTTTGTGGTTAACTCAGGGACAGGAAGGAGGGTGAACATAGGTTGATTTATATCTATTTATCAAACTGTGATTAAAGGTGATCAGGTAGTATTTCATAGGTGACCATTATCCTATGAAGCCTCAACTTTTGCCTGTTCTTACCTTCCTAGAACCTCTTAGATCGGGTTGTTGCCCTATTAATCTGAATGCACCATAGATCCTAAGCCCTAGATCTTGGAGGCAAGACTATAACTAGTCTAGTGGATTCTCTGCCAAGGTTCATTCCTGGTTTTGCACTAAAGCCCATTGGACTAGGTCTGGTGCAGTTTACTTTTAAAGATGAACCAAGTGTCAAAGAATTAACATCTCTCAAGGGAACTGCAGGTTGTAACATCTATATCCACATGACATGGATACTTTATCTGTCAACCTGTTTTCCCTTGACTGTCCTCTGTTTTGTTTTCATATTCCCCCTGATCTTTCTTTCCGGTTTATCCTTTTTCCTCCCACCCCTTAAATGTAGCTAGTTCTCTGGCCCCTTTACTGTATATACTGTAGGTGAACTCTTCAGTACTCCAAGACTGACTCCCACATTTTCATCTCTAGCACAGAAAATCAGGGAACTTTCCCCTGATTTTCAGTCCTATATATCTTTTTTCTCATGAGAACTCACCTTGGAAATCCTATCAGCATCTCAAATTTGTCTCCCCAACTGAACAAATTATCGAATTTCCACCCCAAGTCTACCCTTCTTCCTATATTCCCTGCCTTTGTTAATGTCATCCCTTCAGCCATCCACCTTCCATTCTCCCTTTCTTTCACCAAGTCCTGTTTGATTCTACTTCCTGTACTCCTGAATTGGTCCTCTCCGTCCTTTCTACCTTCCTCATTTCTTTGGTATTCACCTTTACTGGTGCTGAGGAACCTGTGACTTATCTAAAACATAAATATGATTATGATTCTTCCTTAAAATCATCCATTTCCTTCCACTCAGAACAAAATTGGTGGATTCCAGACTCACTTTGTGTGCTCGTCTTTAAGTGACCTCCCAGTGGCCCCTCCTGCTATTTCCTATCTGTGTCTTCCCCTTGGGCTGCCCATGTCTTGTCTTGCTTTTATGTCTTTGCATCTGTCATCCTCTCTTTCTCTTCTGTCCACCTGCCTAAAAATTGCTTATCTTTCAAGTTCTGCTCACCGGTGTTATCTTTGGCAAAATTTCCCTAACATTTCTCCTGACCTCCCGTATTGCTTTCATAGTCTTCCATCTTAGCACATGTTTTATGGTTGCATGTTGGCATGCCATATTTCCTAGTCTCTGCTCCTTGAAAGTAAGAGCTATCTTTAATTTGGTAGCCAGAGCCTAGCACAACATTTGATACATAAGAATTTACACAGCAACATTTGTGTGGTTCTGAAACTATTTATATTATGTCTTCAAATAATGTAAAAAGCTAACCAGGTCATTTTAATTCTTACATGTGGCTCTTGAAGCAACCCAAATTCAGTAGTATTGAAATCTCATTTTTATGAGCAATGTACATTATAATTGAGTTATCTTTTGAAGCCAAAGTGTCTATTCCATACATACATACGTACATATACATCTTTCCAAATAGAGGTAGTATATAGAACTAACTATTCAAGTTCTGCCTATTTTATTTATTTAGCTTAAAATGTCTTACTAAAGGCCAGAGAATCCATCTTAGAACTTGGCTTTTTAATTTTAAATTTAGCAATATCTTTGGAAGAGAAACTGAATAGTGTCAAACGTAGTTTTCACTTCTATAAATTAAATTTGACTTAAAACATGTTTAGGATTTAGGGAAAAAGTCATTTTCCTTCCCCTTTGCCCTGCAAATAGGATTGAGTATAATGGTGCATGGTATGTAATTATATACTGAAACCTCTTCATATTGCCTTTTTTAAAACTTCATCATAAAGAAAATCAACCCTCACTGTGACTCAGGCTGTCATCAAAGTTCTCTTTTTTCTTTTTCTTTCTTTCATTTCTCGTGGCCCATATTAGAGTTTAATAAACATGTCGCTCTGTTCTTAGGGTCAACTGCAAGCAGTATTTTATTAAACCAAATACTGCTTTTGTAACTCAATGATCTTTGTTGCCTTTTTAGAGTCACTTCAAGTAAAGCTTAGTGCCATCTTCTTTTTGCTGTTAGATTTTGTATTTGTGTGAGTTATTGAAAATAGCTGTGGTTAAAGAAAAGAAAAGAAAAATAGCTGTGGTATAAAAATGCAATAGATGCTCTTAATTTTCTAGTCTTTATTGGTTCTGTCAGGATTCACAAGTATTATCAGGTAAACAAATTTGAGAGCATGCCAGTTTATAATCTTAACTGATTCATTTGGAGTAGAGGTTCATACATTGAGGGCAAATTCCATAAAATAAAAGCCACTATTTTAGATGTATGCCTAACAGTCCCTATATACCTTTGCTTTCTTATGGCTTTCCCCCTTTCTTTATAATCAATTCAATGAAGTCTTTTGGCCTCTTGGTCATTAAGATACCTTTTTAAAAATTCTCTAAATTTGTTTATAGAAATAATTATATGCCTATCATATAGTAAATATTAGCCACAGTTTACAAGGTATTTGTTTTTTTACTGGAGGGAAATCCCTAATGTTTTATAGTCTTAATAGATTATAGCTAATTATAGCAGTGTGTTCTTCCAAAAGTGTAATTTTCTTGAGGGCAAGATATCTTTGTATTTTTGTTAACCATAAGAGTATGTTGTTTATACCTTATGTTTAGTTGTTGCTTGAATGAATGAATTGACCCCTGCCTATAGGAATGAATAGCTACTAATGCCATTTATCATTTCTGTTTATAGGTATTACCATTTAATGAAATCTTCTTGCCAGCAACTCTATGATAAAAAATATAAGTAACAGAGGAAACTATAACTGTTATTTGTCAAGTGGCAAGCTTTTAATGTCAGAATGGCTCACATAAAGCGACTAGTAAAATTACATCTTAAAAGACATTATCATAAAAAGTTCTGGAAGCTTGGTACAGTAATTTTTTTCTTTATAATATTTTTGATTTTAATGCAAAGAGAAGTAAGTGTTCAGTATTCCAAAGAGGAATCAAAGATGGAAAGAAATATAAACAAAAACAAGATGTTTGATTTAATGTTAGAAGCTGTAAACAATATTAAAGATGCAATGCCAAAAATGCAAATAGGAGCACCTGTCAGGCAAAGCATTGATGCTGGTGAGAGACCCTGTTTGCAAGGATATTATACAGCAGCAGAATTGAAACCAGTTCTTGACCGCCCACCTCAGGATTCCAATGCACCTGGTGCTTCTGGTAAAGCATTCAAGACAACCAATTTAAGTGTTGAAGAGCAGAAGGAAAAAGAACGTGGAGAAGCCAAACACTGTTTTAACGCTTTTGCAAGTGACAGGATTTCTTTACACCGAGATCTTGGACCAGACACTCGACCTCCTGAGTATGTTGAAGAATGTTCATTGTTTACTGTTTAACATTAGGGTTTCTGGGGAGGGGCTTTAAGGAATGTGCTTGTTCTTCAGCCACACTGAGGCAAATATCAACAATTGCTGTTTAATTTGTTTAATTATGTTTTTGTTTAGTAATGAGGCCAACCATATCTATGCTTGGCGAGGCATTGCAGACATGAAAAGTTGTTACCTTACAAACTGGAAAACTAAATTTTAGATCTGACTGCTGTAGAACCACAAAGAACTCCTTTATTCTTAAATGCTATCATTTTCTAATCTATTAAGTAGGGAATATTGGGCCGTTTTTATGGGAAATGTGGGAGGCAGAGGAGCTGTCTCAGTTCCTCTGTGTATTGCTATAGAATAAGTAGAAATGTTTAAAAAAGTGCCAAGACTTTGGAGCTATTAGATAAGAATATTCTATGAACTAAGTCACAGACTTTGTGGCTACTTTCAGTACTGTAATTGTATTTCACAATGCCCTGTAAGCTTTTGTAACCTTTCTTTTAAGGAACAATATTGTTAAATTGCTAATTCAATTATTTTTTTTTCTCCAGAGTTTTGTTGAGTATCATATGTATACAATTGTCTCCCTTTAGCTTCTGAGAGGCCAACATTGCTTTTTATGTCACTTTGTTTACATGTTACCTCAAGTACACAGTATTTTTACTATGGTTTCCCTCCAGATCCTACTATACTCTCCTTAGTTAACCATTTTGTTATCTTTGAGGTTGTGTTCAAATGCTCTATTTGAATTCAAATAGGCTAAAATAAATTCCACCACTTTCAAACCACCTGTTGATTGGTTGAAAGTGTAAGATAGACAAACTGCAAGCAAGCAATGCCTACATATTTGCTTTCTGGTTATGACAGAATTATATTTGGAAGTGAACCTGGAGAAAAGAACTTTTATAGACTTAAGTCTATGGCTTCACTCATATTTTTCTAGAGTTATGATCATGAATACCTGTTCTAACTATGAATCCCTCAATATTGAAGTTGTGTAGATTAGACTTCTGTCTCTCTATTCTAATCTGTGTGATTCAAAGTTAAGGTGCTCATCATTTTTAAATGAATGTGTGAAGAAACAAATGAATGTCTGTAAACAAGGCACAAAATAGTTCCTTTCTTATGTTAATAGTTAAAATGCAGTATTGCATTTGACTAATTTGGGGAGAGGTCTTGACTAAAAAGCAATCCACATCACAAATCAAGAAGCATAATTTTTATTCTTTGATGTGACAGTCAGTGTCAGCTCAAGATAAGTTTCCCCCCCCAATATAGCATTAGGGAGCTAAATAATATTCACTAATGAAATTACTGTAAGTCAAAAACAACTAAGCACTCAAAAGAACCTTTTTTGGGTAGGAATTGGATACCTAGAACTGTGAAGAACTGGTGAAGATTTAACACTTTCTTAGTTTAAATTTAACCTATATCAGCAAGGAACACATTTTCTGAAGAATTGCTGATCTTTTCCATGCTCGTTAAAAATATAGATCCAGGGTCTCCCAAAGGCAGATGTTCATGTAATTGATAATTTAAGCCCATATCTATATGCCAGATTTTACAAATGGTTTGACTGGGAATATGCAGTCAGTTTGGTAAGTTATTTGATTTCACTACTTTAAATGACATGAAAAAATTTCTAAAGCATAAGTTTAACATGCTTTTTTATTGTTTCAGAATAATTGGGGTTTATAAAATCATACTGTGAAATTTTATTATCACTTGCATTAATGTTATATAACATGACACCTTTACTTGGTATTAGTAGTTATCAGTTGAGCAGATAAATCCTAGCTTAAACTGAGGGAAAGCCTTGTAAGATTAAAGTGATCATATTTTATTTATGAGAATTTTTGTGAGGTTTTATTAAAATTCCAAAACCTTTTTGTAATTCTCAATATATGTTTATTAGTCCCATGACAAGTAAATGTAGGGAAATTTTTTTTTTAATCCCCAAACTCCTCCCCAAAATGCTTATAAGACAATTAAGTCATAAGGTTTTTTTTTTTAAAAGGAAAATAGCATGGAGTTTTTAATAATTTTTACTTTTAGTTTATGTTGGTTTGTAAACCTTTATGTCTTAAGAATACAAGCTTATATTTAGTCATTTGTTTCTGTGTAATTGTGAGTCAAGAGTAATTATGAATAGGTAGTTTGTGTTTGAACTTTATTTCTAATTGGGAGTTTATCCAAAATTCAATCTAAAATAAATGGTTTGCTTTCATCTGTCAGTGAGGATGAATGTGATTATTTGCTTCTGATTATGCATATATATTTGAAATCATGAAGGCACGAGAGAGCAAAATCACTTTCACTTATAACTTTCCTCTCCTTTTCTTACTCAGCAGTGTTGACACACTCTGTTAATACTTTATCCTCAATCTGATTCCTTTTTTTATCACTACAAATATTCCACCCTAAAGACCTCTTCTCAGAAAAGGATCTGAAACACATTCATACTGAGGTAGGGCTATGAGAATGATTCATGAGAGTTTATAGGGTGTCTCTCTGAGGATGGCTTTCCCAGGCCTTGGGTATCATACTGGGGGCTCTGGTTTCTCCACGGACCCTCACAGAGTATTTGAAGTGTGCTAGACTCTTATCTCCATAAGTGAATGATTTACTTCTTTATCTTTGGTTTTGAACAGCACTGTTTGTTCCCACAATCTATTTGTAGTGCCTTTTGACTGTGTGGGAGGATTTTATACTCTGTTTTCTAAAATTGTACAACCATTTATGATTTTTAAGTGAACTTAAAGATAGTTATTTTCTTTATTTATCTTTACCATAGACCACACATCTATTGTGTCCCTGGGTCACTTTGTTTGGTTTTACAGTGGTCTGAAGCCCTCTACTATATGTTATATTTTTTGATCCCCATCTCAACTCAGTAGGCAAGGGACTGTGGTCAGCTTCAGTCTCAAAGGCTGGAGACCGTACAGATCCACCCACACCTAATGGCTTCACATGAAGATTATTTTCATTGAGGAAGATGTTATTAAAATGAATTAAAATAATTCAAGAATTAATCTTGAATTCATATTAAAAATGAATTCAAGATTAATTTGTAACTAATGTGTTTAACTAATGGGTAGTACCATTAATCAGTCAAAAACTACTTAGGATCTCTCTCCTTGTGCCCATCAGTGTTTCATAAGGTAACAGGATCATAGGACTTTTAACATGGATTTAGGATTTTTATCTAAAATTCTTAAGTTTAGTATTTTAAAATGGTAGGTCTTATTTAAATAAACTATGGATCAGATTATCGGAGCAAAATCTTTAACACAGCATGGCATATGGTAGCAACTTAATAAGTCTTGCTGAGTCATAAACATAATAAAAAAATAGATTTTATGGTAAGCCATTTTTTCCCTTTTGGTTCAAGTATAGATTAAGTAAATTGATTTTAAAAACTTGAGAAATATTACATAGGAAAATAAGAATCTCTGCAAAGATAAATATTCATTTAATAAAGTTGCACTGTTTAAAAAATTGCAAGTAGTAAGAAAAAAGGATGATTTCTACAAGGAAGGAGAAAAACTTGGTTTTTATTTGAGCAATTACAAGTATTTTCCATTTTTACAGGTTTGTGTCACTGGTAGGTTATTTTCCCTTTTTGAAATGCTATTTGTGTTTTATATTGTTGAGAAAACTTAAAATAGCATATTTTAATCCTTGACATGGAATCTGTATCAGTGGATATGATCTCTGTGTAAAAAAATTTGTTGTGATCTATTTATATTTCCATAGCATTAAGATCAACTTACATAGAAAAAATTTGTCCACTATTGTTCCTATGGTGATAAGGGTTAAATAATGATTATTTTAGTAATGACATAGCTGTGAAATAAAGTAATAAAATTCATAATTGTTCTTCTGCTTCTTTGACTTCTTCTAGATGTATTGAACAAAAATTTAAGCGCTGTCCTCCCCTGCCTACCACCAGTGTCATAATAGTTTTTCATAATGAAGCCTGGTCCACGCTGCTTAGAACTGTCCACAGTGTGCTTTATTCTTCCCCCGCCATACTGCTGAAGGAAATCATTTTGGTGGATGATGCTAGTGTAGATGGTAAGAAAGCACATGCAAATTAGATTGTTTCCCAAGTAAATCCCGTGTGATGTTGTCCAAAGTCTATTTTATTATATTGTACTCTCTGTATGCCACCTCAGAACTTGAATATAATACCTTGAATGGTACGTATGCTAGATGAAAGGAGAACCTAAGGGTGTCCATATTTAAATATTTTAGAGTTCAGAAATGTATGAAGTAGCATGATTCATAACTTTGGAAGTCCTCAATGTAAGACTGTTATTGTAAGGCGTCGTGGTTAAGAACACAAACTTGAGCCTTGAGTCAGGCTGCCTTGGTTTGAATCCCAGCTCTGGTCCTAACCAGCTATGTAACTTGGGCAAATTACTTAATTCCTCTATGTCTCAGTTTCTTTCTCAGTAAAATGGGGAAAATGCCATATTTCATCAAATGTATTGTATAATACATCATTAGTTTATTTACCACTTGAATTAAAAACCCTCAAAATTAAACAAAGATGCCATTGATTATAAGAAGTATCCAATTGTGCAGCTTAGAATTGAGGAAATACATAAGTAGTGCATAACTCCTAGGGTTGTTTTGAGGATTAGATGAGTTAATATCAATAATACGTTAATATAAATGAGTAGTTAAAAATCATTAAAGAGTCACTACATTCTGTTTTACTTTGGCTGCTAAATATGCCAATATTGTTTACAAAGTTAACTAAATTCTTTAATGCATTTATACTTAAAGTTACCAGTCAATTGTCAGGTCCTAAATTATACATTTTAAATTGGAATCACAAGGCTAATCAGACAAATACCCTATGTTGCTAAATTTTCAAACATTACAAGTATTTTAAATATCAGTCAGATACAGATTATTTCAGTGATCACAGAATTTATTCCTGAATGAGTTGAGTTTGGATCCAAATTCTTTAAGGTCAAATTCCAACTCTATTACTTACTATCTGTTTCTTCATCTATAAAATGGAGATAGTAATACTCTTTCATCAAATCCAAAGCAACATCTATTTTAAGATAAACTATTACTTTACATACTATGAAAAAAGAAAAAAAAATGCTGCTTGTTAAGTGACATGTCATCAATAACAAAATTTATCCAGACTTAAGAAATGATAATAAGCGGCGCCTGGGTGGCTCAGTTGGTTAAGCGACTGCCTTCGGCTCGGGTCATGATCCTGGAGTCCTGGGATCGAGTCCCACATCAGGCTCCCTGCTCAGCGGGGAGTCTGCTTCTCCCTCTGACCCTCCCCCCTCTCATGTGCTCTCTCTCTCTCTCTCTCTCTCATTCTCTCTCTTTCAAATAAATAAATAAATAAATCTTAAAAAAAAAAATGATAATAAGTGAATAAAGCATAAAATTATTGACCTGGCTTATTATTTCTACATAAAATCCTAAACATTTCTATAATTTCAAAATATCACGAGTGAACGGAGATTATGTTTTGAAGTTACATTAACATCTAAGTGGAATAAGGTTGCTTATCACCAGAGATTTTTGACCTGGATGTGAAACCAGTTCACCAAATGGGGAAGTTTTATAATTCAAGTCTCCTCCTCATGGGTAACACTACATACAGATCTCTGACTTGAATTTCCAATCCTCCTACCCAGGTTATATCACCACTTACTTGTAATCAACTAATTTATTTACTGCTTAAAATGTTCTGAATTTTTTCTGATTCTTTCTACTTGGTCTACAGTCCATAGAGTTTTAAGTGACATTTGATTAAGTTCTGCATGTCTCTCATAGGTTTTGTCGTTAAAAAAAAAAATTCCCGCTCTGGTTTTGTGAGCTTTCTTCTCAGATGATCTTTATTTTGTTTGATTTTTCAAGCAGTGAGAAATTGGGGCCACAGTAAGGCTACTTGTAGTAAGCCTTCAGTTGAAGGTAACTTCTATTATTTAATTGTACAAATAAAATTAACAGATTTAAAGGAAATCAGAAAGAAAAGTGGGGGCCTTGGGTGGCTCAGTTGGTTAAGCATCTGCCTTTGGGTCAGGTCATGATCCCAGGGTCCTGGGATTGAGTCCTGCACCCTGCTCCCTGTTCAGTGGAGAGTCTGCTTCTCCCACTGCCTCTCCCCCTGCTCATGCTCTCTCTCTCTCTTTCTCTCTCTCTCTCTCTCTCTCGTGCTCTCTCGTGCGCACATGTGCATGCCCGCTCTCAAATAAATAAAATCTCTTTTAAAAAAACAAAAGTGATATCCAATCATAATCTTCCTATTTCATTTTAATTTTCTTTCTCTCTTAATCACTGTCTAAATATAAACATGTTTATCTAATTATATCCATGCCAGAAATCAATTTTGAAATCTGACGTTTTCATATAATATTATTATTAGCCCATTTCTTTCACCTTCAGAACTTTATTTTTGATGACCATGATGGACTAGATGCATTTTACTTAACCATTCACCTTTATTCACTCTACAGTGTTTAATGAATATCCTTGTGCTTGTGTTACTTTCCTCCATTTGAATTGTATCTTTGGGTAAGTTAGACTGCTTGGTCAAAGGGCCTAGATATTTTTTTTTTAAAGATTTTATTTATTTATTTGAGAGAGAGAGAAGGAGAGAGCATGAGAGGGAGGGAGGGTCAGAGGGAGAAGCAGACTCCCCGCTGAGCAGCAGGGAGCCCGATGCGGGACTTGATCCCAGGACTCCAGGATCATGACCTGAGCCAAAGGCAGTCACTTAACCAACTGAGCCACCCAGGCGCCCGGGCCTGGATATTTTTATAATTCTTTATAATAATTAGTAGTTTTCTTGGTGAGGGATATCTTTGCATACTAATGTAATTAATTTGTCTTATTGAATAAATAGTCTATCTAATGATGAGTACCCACTATGGAAAATGTGTCCCTAGTCACTGTAAAGGAGCATGTGAGGTAGAAATGATAATCCCTGATTTCAATTGGTTTAGGGAAAAGCAGCAAAAATATGTGGATAATCAAGTGACAAAGATAGGTAAGTCCCAATGATAGTAAAACAAAAGATAATCAACATTGTCAGAGCGTAGGTCATGTGGTAAGCCCTGTCTTAAATACTTTATTTGTATAGTAATTTTTCATTTTATCCTCCCAGCAATCCCCTGTGAGGGTGTTATTATCCCCATCTTAGAGATAAACTGAGGTACAGGTAAAATAAAATAACTTACCTAAGGTCACACAGCTAAAAGTAATGGTGCTATAAATAGATAAACCCAGGAGATCGGATTTCACAGCTTGGTGCTCTTAACCTCACAAAAAGATGGGCACGGATGGGGACTGAATTTAAGGGGCAGATAAAAATTTATAGGAAGTTCAGAAGTTGTGGGTAAATGAAAAATTCCTTACTGAATCAAACAGTGAGACAGTTTACTGAAGGAATCTGTAGTGACTCCATTTAAAAAAAAAAATCAATCCCCATTAAGATCTTTGAAATGTTTTTATATGTTTTTATTTTACAAGTCAAACCTATGGTTAAAACAGGAATATCCATGATTTCTATTTTAAGATAAATTACAATCCTGCTTGTCTTTCGGAGAATTAATTCTGAGGTACCTGAGAAGGCAGTTAAAAAGTTAGTCTATTACTCTGTGGCAACAGTGTTTAGATTTATTTTCCACAGAAGTTGTTCCTGGACTCTCACCTCCTTTATGAATGTTTAAGCTTTGAATAAGCAACTCATTTATCTGTACCACTGGAGAACAGGAAAACAAAAAAAAACAATCACAGATAAAGTCATCTGTACTTGCTTCTGAAATCTGGCAGAAGCGAACATCTACCCTAGGACATTTATTGATGTTCTCAGCATTCCCAGATCTTTTTGAGGCTGTACTATGAAGCCTAAGAAGGCCCCTGAGGAACTGTATTATATACTCAATAAAGAATCATGAATTTAATGGTGAAAAAGCAGACTTAAGTTGTTTCACGATCTGAGCAACACCTGACTGACGTGATTAATGTGTTTTCTTTTATCTACTGTTTTAACTGTTGCTTATCCTGTCTCTCATCCCAATTGGAATGTTGAATATCTTAAATTATATACCCATTAATAAGATTTAGCCTGTTTTTAGCTTCATTCCTCACTTTAACATGCTCCTTTCTTCTGTCATATTTTTATTGGAAAAAAAATTGTGTGTCAGGGGACTCCAGAGCTTTCAAAAATTTTATGCTGATTCTGTAAAAATATTCCCAAACTACGATAGCCTTGGACTTCCCTATTTGCCATTTTCCTCAATGTTTTGGTTTTAAATTATTTTGATCACTGCCTAAGTATCAGAATCCTTTTGATATTTCTCATTTTTCTTTAAACTTCCAGATTTAAATCCCAATTTTAAAAAAGTGTCAAATATGTTTTTGGCCAAATTCAGTTTCTCTTACTCCCTTAGCTAATGTTCTTAGACCCCTAAATAAGTCTTCTTAACTCCTGAGGTCTACTCCATTTGAAGTCTCTGCTTTCTCCCAAATATATTTATTGATATTTCATGTACAAGAGAAGTCTGTGTTATAACGTTTTGTGTTATAGTAGTTCAGAAGTTAAGATTTGCATATATAGCTATATTTTTTTTTCATTAAAGAACTAAATATACAATTTTCATCTTAACGGAAGAGCGTGTGCAACTGTTAAGACAACAAATGTGGAGATATCATTGCTCTGTGGTTTTTTAAATTAGCTTTCATGTGTTATATATGAATATAAACTTAGGAAGAATTAATCCTGATATTTTTTTTCTTACAGAGTACTTACATGATAAACTAGAAGAATATATAAAACAATTTTCTATAGTAAAAATAGTCAGACAAAGAGAGAGAAAAGGTCTGATCACTGCAAGGTTGCTAGGAGCAGCAGTTGCAACAGCTGAAACACTCACATTTTTAGATGCTCACTGTAAGTATATATGTACAGACATAGTTGTAACATTTTCCCTCTGCTTCCCTCCAGTTTAAAAATTGAAGACTTTTCTTTAAATGACTAATTGTATTTTCTTTAACATCATTTTCAACTGGTGATTATAGCAATGACAGCTGAAGCAGATTACAGCTCTGGGTAGGAACCCCCTTTAACTTAATGCAGTTCTTACCCCCTCTGTGTTTTAGGCTGCTCAACTCCAGTATCCTTCAGTGGCCAACTTCCCCAGCAAGTTATCCTTGCCTGGGCTTTTTTTCAGATGCTCATTCTGTCAAAAAAAAAAAGTTTTTCCTTATTACTGTTGATTCTTACAGTTTAAAATGAATGAAAGTTTTGTCCTCGTCCTGATACTTTCAATTTCTGTATTTTAGTTCTTTTTTCAAAGATTTGCAGACTCCTCTTGTGCTGTTTTCCAACCTCTTCTGGCATTTTTTTATGAATATTACCAATTTTTGTTTGTTTTATTGCTACTGTTTTTTTCTTTTTCTTTTTTTAATGGTTTTTTTCTCCAGTGTCAATGATTTTAAATAAAGTATATAGCATTTTTAGAGTCCATGTTTAAAGTGCATGTTAGGGAGGGGCGCCTGGGTGGCTCAATCGTTAAGCGTCTGCCTTGCTTCGGCTCTGGTCTTGATCCCAGGGTCCTGGGATCGAGCCCTGCACTGGGCTCCCTGCTCCGCGGGAAGCCTGCTTCTCCCTCCCCCAGTCCCCCCGCTTGTGTTCCCTCTCTCCCTGTCTCTCTCTCTCATTCAAACAATAAGTAAAATCTTAGAAAAATGAAAAAAAAATAAAGTGCATGTTAGGGATTACTAAAATGTCACTTAGTCCCTCAGCTATAAATTTAGTTGGTTATACTCTTTGTATGAGCATTTAATTTTGAATTGAATTGACTAGCCCTTACATTATGTTTGACCTGGCAAATGATTTTGGTTATATGCTAATTGTTACAGAGGGCTTTTGGATTTGCTTGAGTCTCTTTAGAGTTATCATATCCAGGACTTTCTTAATACCTGGCTCTTAAATGAAGAGAGAGGTGTTTTAAAAAGGAAATGGTTCATTCTGCAATATTTCCTCTCCTGGTCCAAAATTACAATTATGTCAGACTGGGCATTCTTCCTTTCAGGCAAATGTATTTGATGGATCTCCATGATACCAAGTGGTCCTCCTAATAACTGCCAGACTCTGCCTGATGGGGAAACCTGGGTAGGACTGAATCTCCCGAATTCTGTGTGTTAAGTGAGCCTGGCCAGGCCAAGACTTTTTTTATGGCTTTCCTTTGCCCCCACTTTCCATTAGGGCTGGGGCAGGTTTGAATGGTCCTTCTCCAACTGCTGAAATCAAAATATTCTGACTCCTTGACTTATTTTCTCCTAAGACTCAGTCAGAGAAATGACAATTTTGATTACTACACCTTACTCAGGGAGAGTTTAATAAATCAGAACACTTCTGGGTTTAAGTGGCATGGATCAGCAAGAAGTTACCTTTGACTCATAGCTCGTTTCAGAGGGAAACACAGCGTCTGAAACTTAAATACTCTAGTGTCATTTTACTTCCTCACTGAGGCAAAAAAAAAAAAGATCATCTCCTGTATACAAGCTTTCCTAACTATGCTGAATCTCGCTTTACCCTCATCTTATCACAAGAAACCTTTAAGAAATCTCCTCGATGTTAAATGTTCAAAACACAATTGACTATTATTCGTTTCTCTAAACTGTCTTCAAAAAACAGAGAAAACCCGCAGTGTTTTCATTGGATTGAATAGAATTATGTTCCTTCCAGGTGAGTGTTTCTATGGCTGGTTAGAACCTTTGTTGGCTAGAATAGCCGAGAACTACACAGCAGTTGTGAGTCCGGATATTGCATCCATAGATCTAAACACGTTTGAATTCAACAAACCTTCTCCTTATGGAAGTAATCACAACCGTGGAAACTTTGACTGGAGTCTTTCATTTGGCTGGGAATCGCTTCCTGATCACGAGAGGCAAAGAAGGAAAGATGAAACCTACCCAATTAAGTAAGATGATTGCTCTCAAAGTCTTATATGCAGTTCAGTTATTTATACATGTAATCACTCTTTCCTTTTTACAGTTTTTGCCTCCAAGGTAATTCACACTAATGAAATAAAGAACATATACATTCTATGTAGGGAATAAAAAGCCATTTATATATATATATACTTACTTATGCATGATATTACTGAGTAGGAGATAGAAGTAAGTGAGGTCTTTCGTCTTCCTCATTATCATTACTTCAGAATCTTTAGGCTTGGTTAGAAGACACTTAATAATTTTGTTCTGCTGGGAAAGGATATTTAAACTACTTCCCTTCACCCCCGCAAAACTTGACTCTGAAGATAGCATTTTTAGTTTTTGTTAACCTATGTAAAACTTTTGAAATTGTGATCGCTCTTTAATTTGGGAATTTGATTCAGTTGCTCTTTAAATAAATTCCTCTTTCTTATTTAATTTTTATAATGAAGTTTGACAATGGATTATTTTTCAGAACACCCACTTTTGCAGGAGGCCTTTTTTCCATATCAAAAGAATATTTTGAATATATTGGAACTTACGATGAAGAAATGGAAATCTGGGGAGGTGAAAATATAGAAATGTCTTTCAGAGTAAGTTTATAAATATAGTACATATTAAACAGTAAAATACACATTTTGTTCTAATTGGCTGATACAGATTATCATAGATGTGTGCAGTCTTTACTTTTTGTGCTTTCTAAAATTTAATTGCTAGAAATTTTAGAATAAGGGTATTTCTTTTAAAATGTAACTCATTGCTGCCAGTGTAACAAGAGGAATCAGTTAAACGCCTGTGTTCAGCCAATAGCACCAATTAATGCACTTGTAGCTACTGAATTCCAGCCAAGATAAATATAATTCAATCTAGTGCTTCAGGAAATGAGTTGATTATCAAGGGAGTCAGAATGGAAAAACATTTGTGTATAATTTTAAAAGACATTAACTCTTTGCATTAAATGAACTTTTTTTTTTCCTATGCATATTAAAAGTTAATATGAGAAACAAAACAAAAACTTTGGATGGTCTCCACATACACTTATTTGATTTCATGAGTTCATTTTCTGCAGACTCTGTCATTCATTTTTCATCTTTTAGACTGGAATGTAGTGGGAAAAGAACTGAACTAGGAGTTAGAAGATTTAAGTTTTAGCTCTGGCTCCATCACATAATGGCAATGATGATCTTAGCCAAATTTGAACTGCTCAAGGGAGGGCCTTTTTTTATTCATTTAAGTATTCCCAACCCCTAACACATGTTAGATTTCAGGCACAATTTGTTGAATTAAATATACCACTGAGTTTTCTCATTTGTTTAAAAAAAAGAATATGACCTCTTGCCCTAATACTAGTACAGACTATTTAAACACGTCTTCATTTTAGATTTTTTGCTTAGTGACTATGGCAGAACTGATTGCTATACTAAAGATATTTAAGTGAGTAGGTATTGATTTAATAATTTCCCAAATAAGTTTTTTGACTATCCTATCTCTAAATAGGTATCAGTTTTTTACAATGACCAACTACTTCACAAGATTGTACTTGGGTATTATCTGGAATTGTTTTCTTAATTACAAAATTGAATATGCAAGGGGTAAATAGAGTCTGGGTCCACTTACTCCAAGACTGCAAGTTCCTGCCATAGAAGAGAGAATCTTTGGTTCAAGCGAAGTGACCATGTAGCTTGTATAAGAAGGTAGAAGTCAAATACAAAAGAGCCTTTGGTCTTTGGTATATATTAAAGAGCTTGCATAATTATTTGCAAAAAAAAAGAAACGTGGGGCTTTGTTTTTATGAAAGATCTGAAATCACTATTTTATTAAGTTACTTTCTGAGGATATGCCTTTTTGTCTTTAGTTTTTGTACCATTTCATAAAACTGTTTTTTATTATTTAAGAATATAAGTTGAACTGGAGGGGACGGAGACTATTTGTGGTTATAATAAATTTTCTATATTTTGTTTTTATTAGTATCTTAAAGATGAACTTAAAAGCAGCACTTTGGTTTTGTAAATATACTGTAAATTAAACAAATATCATTAATTATCAGGTATGGCAATGTGGTGGGCAGTTGGAGATTATGCCTTGCTCTGTTGTTGGACATGTTTTTCGCAGCAAAAGCCCTCATACCTTTCCAAAAGGCACTCAGGTGATTGCTCGCAACCAAGTTCGCCTTGCAGAAGTCTGGATGGATGAATACAAGGAAATATTTTATAGGAGAAACACAGATGCAGCAAAAATTGTTAAACAAGTAAGTTAGAGCTAAATAATTAAATTACAATTAAAATCCATACCAAGTTCACATATTCTTTTATTTGAGTCAGTTCAAGTACAAAACATTGTAAAAAATTATGTTTGAAGTTGGTTTTTTTAACTCAGAATATATCTTATTGATGCCAGGTTTTTTCTCTTTTTAAGGAAAAGTCAAGTAAGCTGCTTTTTAAAAATTTTAGGCATTTCACTTGATGTTACTCTTTAAATATGGAAGATATTTCGTTTTTGTAACTGCCTTGGTTCAGGATTTTCGTCAAAGAAAAGTAAGATTAAGTGGAACAACTTTTAACTGGTTTTAGGTGATGAAATTAACACCTAAAGAAAGGTGCTATGTGGCTTTTTGAACTGGGGATGGACACAAGAGTCAGAATGTGGCAGGAGAATAAATCAGGAATATCAAGGCTTTAAAAAAAATTTTTTTTTAAGATTTTATTTATTTATTTGAGAGGGAGAGAGCACAAGCAGAGGGGAGAGGGGAGAGGCAGAAGGAGAAGCAGACTCCTCGCTGAGCAGGGAACATGATGCGGGGCTTGATCCCCAGACCCCTGAGATCATGACCTGAGCCGAAGGCAGACGCTTAACCAACTGAGCCACCCAGGTGCCCCAAGCCTTTTTTTTTTTTTATTTCAAGTTCTGGTTCCACTGCTTGCTGGAGGGGTTACCTTGGCAAAGCCCCTTTGAGACTGTAGAATGGGATGACACTTCGTAGGGTGGTTGAGAGGTTGGCCCAACATGGGGTGTGTGCTCAGCCAACCTTATCTCTGCTTCTCTGTCTTGAGAGGTGAAATACTTGCCTTTCTCCCAGAGTAGTCATGAAATAAAGAAGTAAATGTTCACAAATGTATGGCACTGTTGTTACTGACCTGTCATGGATAAAAGCTCTGCAGAATTGTGATGCTTAATACATTGGCACTGAGGTCCAACAAGTTCAATATTGGTTGTGGTAAATGAACTAGACGTTTTAGGAGTGTGCCTCAGTGAATGGCACCCAACTCTTTGTAAAAAACAGTGCTGATTTGCAGGGGGTATATATTGAGATTAAAGGGCATTAACATTTTGACTGTTACAACAGAAGGTCTGGTTACCTCTTTCCAGCTTTTCTTTGGTCTCCAGTATCTCCCTGTAACATGTTAGTAAGATGCAAAGACAGAGCACTACTGGATTAAATTGTTATCTGTTTATCTAAGGCCAGCAGGACAAATTGGGCAGACTGTGTACTGCACACGGGTACTTGGTTAAGCAGGCAGGTGGACGCTAACTGCAGCTTACACTCCCTTGTCACCCACAAAGCGGCAAGCGAGCCAGTAAACCCTTGTTTTTACCACGGGGCAAACAGATCTTGTGATAAAATGCATAAGTTAGCCAGACTCCTTTAGAGTTTAACCCTTTTTGCTAAAACCTCTGGATTCAAGACATTGATGTTGGCAGAGGAAATATTTACCTTAATTGAAATAGTAAGTTTGAGCGTTTAAACTTTGTATATATTTAGGTACTAAATATAATTTTTCTTTAAAATTTTGCCTATAGACCAAATACCTTTTCAGTTTAATAGTGTTCTTTAAAAATTTTTTTCTTAGTCTTTTTAAAATAAAGGAAAATAAAATGCAATTGATTAAAAACTTGCCTTTTTCTATGAATACTTTGTTATTGTTAAGGAGTAACACCCTTAAAACTAGAAAAAAATTATGCCCAACTGTGTTGTCTTTTGTAGTCTTGACTAGAGAAGAGATACAAATTAGATTGTATTGGCAACTGTTTCTTTATTTTATTCATTTAATTTTTTTGAAAAGAGAGAGTTGGAGGGCGAGGGGCAGAGGGAGAGGGAGAATATATATAAAATATATAAGTAGCTTAAATACTCAAGCTTATCATTTCAATTAAGGTTAAATATTTTCTCTGCCAACTTCAATTAGTGCAGAGCCCAAGGTAGAGCTTGATCCCACGACCCTGAGATCATGACCTGACCTAAAATCAAGAGTCATGCTTAACTGACTGAGCCACCCAGGTGTCCCAGCAACTGTTTATTTATACCTGCTTCCTCACACCTCGCTTCACAGATAATTTTTGGATGTAAAATGAGGATCAATTTTGGATTCTCCCACTACCATTTCTCTAAAGATCTTTGCCCCAATAAGGGAGGTTTCGTAGCACAAAGAAAGAAAGAATAAAATAGCCTTATGTCAGCACCCACAGTGGTAACTTGATTCTCTTTCAAGGCAGAAACAAGCAGGGAGGCGTACTTGTTGCCTGAATAAATGGTGAATGCAGTTAAATTGCATCTTGCATTTTGGCCCAGAATTCTTTTTTTAAGACCCAAATATAAATAGAAATCATAGCATTTGAACTCCTTTGTCAGTGCTGTTTTGATTAGGCATTCTTTTTCCTTCTCATCTTTCTCCAGAAATCATTTGGTGATCTTTCAAAAAGACTTGAAATAAAGCACCGCCTTCAATGTAAAAATTTTACATGGTATCTGAACACTATTTATCCAGAAGCATATGTGCCAGACCTTAATCCTGTTATATCTGGATATGTGAGTATGTTCGGCTCCTTTTTACTTGGTATATGCCTCGCCACAAACATTTACATGGTTCAGGGAAAATTGGTGGAATACTTTCTGGTTTATGGCTTTTGAGATTTTACATTACTATTGAAATTAATTGAAAAAATAGATCAACCACATAGATTAAAATTTTTTTCTATAACTTGAAAATTTTCCTTCAGATTAAAAGCGTTGGTCAGCCTCTGTGTCTGGATGTTGGAGAAAATAATCAAGGCGGCAAACCGTTAATTTTGTACACGTGTCATGGACTCGGGGGAAACCAGGTGAGCCTTGAACTAAAAGTCCTCCCTTTTCACTGACACAAACATGAGTAGGTTGTTAGAAGTCCCAGATCAGCTTTGTATTCAGGTAAATGGCTGTTTAAAATGTTTTAGGTTAAGTCTGGCAATTAATATTAAAGTTGCTGAGTAGTTGATTTTGACTCTCCTTCTGACTCTGAAAACAACTTAAAGTGGCTTACCCATTCAGTAGAAAGGCAGATGAGAAAATAATAGAATAAAGCCACTTGAAGTCAAAAAATGGGATCTTCTATGTGGATCTTTGATGTTGGGGGACTACTGGCAAGGTGATTTTGCAAAATTATACATAAAGGCTATATTTACTTAACTGCATTCAATAGCAAATTATATTGTGTTAATACCAAAAGCGCAGTATTAGAAGTTATCTTTGTGGGTCATGATATTATTTCAGTATGTTGTTAAATAAGGGCATGTTCTTGATTATCCTTCACTGATGATATATCTGCTTATTGCCACTCTTTGTTTCAACAATCAAGACTCAAATGTTACATGTCACTCTTTGGCCTACTATGGGTACAGAACTTAGGAAAATATCATTTCTAGTATTTAGCTTCCTTGCCTTGCCTTTTACAAGTTAACTCCTGGAAAGATTGGACTCTCTCATTTGTTCATTCAACAAATTCACTGAGTGACCCCTGCATGCCAGATGGATATTCTGCTGGGTTCAAGCAATTTAGATTTTGACTCCTTCAGGAAATCTACATTTCAACGCCAGCGGTCACAGTCAGCCTGAAAAGATCTGGGATAAAGCATTCAGAGTACTTCAAGATATGAAGGAGGGCATATGAATGAATTAGACTGGGTGCCCATACGTTTTCCTTGGAGAGAGGACATTTGAAAACATTTTTTGGAAGGTGCATAGGAGTTAGTGAGGTAGCTGATGAGAATGAGAACAGGATGAGAAGAGTATGAAGATGAAGGTACAAAGGGGAGAGATTGTGTGTCTTTTTTTCTGTGAATTGCAGGTATTTTGGTAGAGAGTCCAAGATGGGTGTAGAGGATTTTTGCAATATTAAATACTCATGATGTCCTATTTTAAGAGGATGGAACTTTGGTGATGTCAGTGTTAAGAAGAGTCAGTTTATCTCCTGGTCTACCCTCTTCCATGTTTCTCCCTACTCATTAGCCTCAGCTTAATTTAGTTCCAATCCCTGCTCATCCAAATGAACCAATCTACTGAGGGTAGGTGACGCAGACGCCCAGAAGCCGTAGCTAGTGAACATGATCCATCTCTGGATGATTAAGGTGTAATTCTAAAATGGGATGAAGATACACACACAGATATATATATACACATGCATATATATCTATATATGTGTATATGTCTACATATGTGCATATGTGTATATATATACATACCTATTTTAAAATTCCTTCTATATATTAAAAGAAAAATAATTATATAAGTAATCGCATTCTTTTGGAAATAACACTGGACTATGCTAGTTAAAATTGAGGTTTTGGACAATGAGAATTATTGTGTCATTTGTAAAAACCTTATCACTAAATGTAAATACTTACAGACTTTCCTCAGGCTTCCTCTAGCATTACATTTATTTTATCATAAAAGTTGAAAATATATGTTGTTTTATATGTTTTTCTCTCGTCATTGCCATAAAGATGTTTTTATAGTCTTGTCTCTAAAATAATTTATAAATTATAAATACAATATAGCTGTCTTTTAAAAATTCCATTGAGAATGGAGAAGTAGTTCACATATTCTTTCAAGAAATTTTTGTTTAGAGCCTATAATGTCACTTGCACTGTTACCATAGTGAAAAAGGCAAAATCTCTACCTTGTGGACCTTGTGATCTTGAAGGAAAAGAAAAAAAATATGTAATTTTGGGCATAAAGAAACATGAAGCAGGATAGGTGGATAATGTGAACCTGGGGAGTGGGAGAGGGGTTTGTTTTCGGAGGTTCAAGAAGACCTCTTTGAGAAGGTGACCTTGGAGCAGAGCCCTAAAGGAATTGGAGAGGAACCGTGTTCCAGGAGGGGTGCATCCTGGCAGAGGGAGTACAAGGCTAGAGGCCGGTGGCAGATCAATGGAAGAGTCAGAAAGCCAGTGTGTGTCTGCAGCAGAGTGGTCTAGGAAGACAGGGTGGGAAACAAGGTCAGAGAAGTCGATAAGGGGCCTGGTCATAGAAGGCTTTGCAGGCCTCCCCTAGGAACTTGGATATAATTCTCAGTGTGACAGAAGCCATCTGAGGGTTTTGAGCAGGAGAATAGTATTTCCCGGTTTATATTTTAAGAAAAAATTCCTCTGATTTCTAGCACTGTAATATAGCCATCAATTTTATTTTGGTTTATTTCCCTTAAATTTTTTTTTTCAGTCAAACACTGCCTTTAAACTGCTCTGCAAATTTTAGTTCCTTGAGTGCTAAGCGTTTTTGAGATATCATCCAACCTGATCATTTCTTTATGCTCCCTTTTACTGTTTTGAGCAGATAATGATATTTATATAACATAAAACTCCATTGTAACAGTATTTGTATATGCCAAGTAAAAGTAAGTATTTTGATAATGTGACTACACTGACCAATATACTGGTGCAGGGCAGTGTAAGTCATTATGGCTTTGTAACACTTAGTGCTTTGCTTAGTTGGCTTCCTATTCCAGGGTATTTGTCCTGGTTCTAGCTTATGTCTCTCCAGTGTTCCCAGGTAGCTAATTACATATTCTTTTTGGTTGCCTAAGTATCTTCAACTACTTCCTATTCCTTATAACTTGCCTTTTAATGATTTTTTTTTCTAAATAACGTGGGTGAAGTAAAATATTGGACAGACTTTCCTACCACCTTTGATATCCTAAGATTTATCTTTCTTGAAGAAGTATAGCCAAAATGCGGTTTTTATGATCTACACTCATTTTCATTCAGTGTCTCCATCTGAAGAACTATCAGGTTATAAAAATGATGGATATATTTGTGGAAGAAGCTAAATTAAGCATGAGGCCAAGACCAGGGGAACTCAAGATTAATTCAACTAATGTTTGTGGAGTGCCTACTCCAATACACATAAAGGGTTTAAAACAGTCCCTGCTTAGCACATAATAAGGGCTCAATAAATATTAGTGCTAAGACTAATTATTTCATTATTGAAAATCCATTATGTTCACTTGTCTTTGAAATGTCAACATTATGGAATATTTGATTTGTAATGGATGTTATTACTAGATACGCTGCCTGACTTTGGTCTGTGGTGAAGCCAGCTAGCTACATGCACAATTCCAATAGAGTGCTATAAAAGTTATTTCTGATGTACTATAGGAACCCTGAAAAGGGTGTAATTTTGTTCAGTAGACAAGCTCAGGGAAACTAAAGAAGCAAAGTAACATTTGATTTGGCTTTTCAAGGATAAAAAAGGAATTAGCTAGGCAGAGAACGATTCAGAAGGATATTTCAGTCAGCGCACAGTAAAGCAGTCTTAGACTTATGGATGCATATGTTCTACATTGGTAAAATTGTGTGAAAAGAGCATGGTGTAGAGTTCAGGCAGTGGTTGACGTAAGATTGAAAATGGAAGAGCTCACGTACTAGTGAAGGAGTGTGGACTTCCTCTTAGCAACAGTAGTGACTCACTCAAGTAAGGGAGGTAGGGCATCGAATCAGTGTTATGAAAGACTAACTGGCAGCAGAGTGAAACTGCAGAAATTGCAGGTTCGCTGGAAGTACTACAGTAGAGATTCTGAGTGCTGGAAAAAGAGAAGTGAGGTACAGAGCAAAGTACAATGGTGACATCTGAGAGGGAAAGTCAGTGGAACTAAGGGGCTAATTAATTGGACATATGGGGAGAGAAAAACATTAATCCTAGTAATAACAGCTAAGATGAATTAAAAGCTTACCATGTACCAGTTATCTTTCTGAGTGTTTTACATATATTAGCCCTTTTATCCTCATAACCCTGTGGGGCAGGAAAACTATTAAATTACCCATTTTATAGGCAAGGAAACTGAGACATGGAGATTACCTCATTTAATTGTTCCTAGTGTAAGTGAAAATACCATTAATTGAGATGAATAAGAGAGAAGGAACACTTGTGGAGAGGAAGAGGCAGTTAATGTGCTTGCTAGAAGTTTCCAGGTCCTTTTCTGAGGCTTTTCCAGGTCCTTTCCTAGCTAACCTCCATTCCACCTGATAACTTCCCACTTCTGACAAGGGAGGAAGACATTACTTCTTTATGTAACTACCTGTGGTGATAGGCTGGAAAAGGGTTATAGCATCTGCTGTTGTAAAAGCTCAGCTCATATTTCTAATACCTATTTTTATTATATTATTTTGTTGAGTGTATCCACCTGACTTCATTATTCAGTGAGTTGCTGATTTTTTAAAATTATTATTATTGGACCATTATTTTGCAATTGAGGATACAGGGTGAGGATACAGGTCAGTAATAGCATTCTTCTTTTCACAGTATTTTGAATACTCGGCTCAACATGAAATTCGGCATAACATCCAGAGGGAATTATGTCTTCATGCTGCTCAAGGTCTTGTTCAGCTGAGAGCGTGTGCCTACAAAGGTCACAGGACAGTGGCCAGTAGAGAACAGATATGGGAGATCCAGAAGGTACCTCAGTGCAATTAATTCACCCCTTTCTATAATTATTTTGATTAGCTCTAATTGCTTATCTGGGAAAATGCATGAAACATAGCATTATTAATGTTATCCATCAGAATTTCTCTGTCTTTTTTAACTTTATTATTAGGTATGTCTACCAATGTGATGAGAGAATGTATCTATGAATTCACTACTCTTAGAAACAAGTTGTTTAATGAAAGCATGACTTATACAGATCAACACTTTTGTAAATTATTAATAATAGTTGCTCATATTTGTCTCTTTGGAGTCTCTTACAATGCTTCTGGCAGCAGTCACTTTTTTTTTTATAATGGCAGAGAGACAAAAAAAATCGTTATCTTTTTCTCACCTAAAGTGATTCATTTCTCCTGTTTCAGTACTTTTTTAAAATGAATTTAAAATTGAGAGAATACAAAAAAGATCCTTCCTGTTTTTAAATATATGTGTTAAGGCTTAGCTGGAACATAGCAATTCTTACCTAAAAATTGTTTTGTGCCATACTAGAACACTAAAAGACTGATTTTTATAACTTATAAAAAGAGTTTGTCACTTATGGATATACCAATGGAATGGTTCTTATTTGAAAACTTGATTCAGACCTTACTCTTTATACATCTCTTTATTTATATAATACCTCCTGTGAATTGAAAAGTAGTGGCATAAATGGTATTGTTCACACCAGAAACCAACAAGATTTTAGCAAGACAAGGTTGATCTGAGAAAGATTAAAAGTTAAAAACTGTGTACATTTGGTATGTGAGTCTCCTTTAGCTTCGATGAGACCATAATGTAGTTTTCATATTTATCAGTTAACCATGAATCTTGAAATTTAATGTCTGTTGTGTTTCCTTTTATTCTAGGATCAACTTCTATATAATCCATTCTTAAAAATGTGCCTTTCAGCAAATGGAGAGCATCCGAGCTTGGTGTCATGCAATCCATCAGATACACTCCAAAAATGGATTTTTAGCCAAAATGATTAAGTGTTCCTTAAAATTAAGGAGTTGAAAAAGGAGATATTCTTTCTCATAAAACTGTGACTAGGCATACACTGTAGTTTTTGAAAATTATGCAAAAGCAGCTAATTGTAACTTATTCCAAGTGCATTTTTCTTATTTATATCTTAAAATGTCTATGTAGCACTGCTACAGAAATCTTTTAAGTTTCCGTTTCAAAGCACAATAACTAATAATACCAAAGACTATTTTGAAATGTCCAGATGTAGGGGAAGAGATGTTTACAGTATGATGAAAATAATTTTCTAAGTAAAGTGATATATGTGTGTTTTGTACACTTAAAGATATGCATAGCTACATTCACACACTCACAATTTAAAATATTTCTAGTTTTTTGGGGGGTGGGAGAAAGATTTGATACCATATTTTTTTTAACTACATAGAAAAGGATCAGTGAAGGTCAAGCATTGACCTTTGTGTACAAACCAGGAAATTTTTATAGATCTAGAATTTATTATATAAAAATGCAAGTAAACTTTTTTTGCCTTTTGTTTACTTATCTGTCATAGGTTTCCTTAAACATGAAATTAAATGAATAAGGAGAATATTTTTAACACTTCAGTATCTTGGCAAATTTTAAAATATTTTTTAGTCGAAGCCCACTTGACTTAAAGCACTTAAATCTTGCTTAAAAGATATTTCTTAAATAACTATACTGTGTGTTTTCCCAAAGCAATATTTAAAAAAAAAAAAAAACTATAAAGTACTATCTGTTGAAAAGGTGTCTTTTTCCTTTCTGCTAGTCTTTTTTTCTTACCAAAATTCACTAATCTTGAATGTTTGTGAAATTGAATTTCAAATGCAGAATACCTGACTCATTTAAAAGCTAAATTTTATTTGTTACTGATTCAATTTAGATTGTCTTTGTAAAGAATTTTTTTCATCAAAAAAACCCTTCTATGTGGAAAACACAATAAAATGAATCCTTACCACTGTTACAGTTATTTGATTTAAATTTCTTTCTTCTTTTGGATAAAATATATAATTGATATTAGATGGGCGCATGAATTTTGTATACTTAATTTAAGTACCTATTGTAGAGCCATCAGATACTTCTTAAGGAATACTCAAGTATTTCGTAGTAATGGCATAAAAAATGGGGAGTGGAGAAGATTCTATGTTAGATATTTTGAAAATTTTGTACTAATTTCTGATATTCCTTGAGCATCTAATAGAGTAATTTTTAAAAAATGTGATGCCTACATAGATTTAACACTTTTCTTTTTGGTCCATTTTATATAGAGATCTCTTGTATTCTTATTTAAGAAGTAAAGTATGATTGGCTTCATATTTTAAATGTTGCTGAGCCTCAGTTGTACAAAAGAAAATATTTTTAAATTATTGGTTCCTTCACTTCATTGTTTGTAATTTTGAACTTATATTAAAAGACCTGCATTCTTGGGGACTTGGGGCAGGTGGTTGGCTTAGTTGATTAGGCGACTGACTCTTGGTTTCTGCTCGGGTCATGATCTTGGGGTCATGATCTCTGGTTGTGGAGTTGAGCCCAGCATTGAGCTCCAGTGTCAGGCTCCTCACTCAGTGTGGAGTCTGCTGAAGATTCTTTCTCCTCCTTCTCCCTTCCCCTCTGCTCCTCCCCAACTCACATGCGTGCCCTCTCTTTCTCTCAAATAAATGAAATCTTAAAAAAAAAAAAAAAGAACTGCATTCTTTAATTTATTACAATGCCAACATTTATTTCAATTCAACTAACATTTATTATATGTCTAACTTGTGCCCAAAGTTATGGTAGGCAGAATGAGTCTTATAATGCCTTTGAGCTTAGATCTTATGGAGCAGAAAGACAAATAATTTTGAAATAGCATAGGCCTAGGTGGCTCAGTCAGTTAAGTGTCTGCCTTCGGCTCAGGTCATGATCCTAGGAGCCTGGAATCAAGTCCTGCATCAGGCTCCCTGCTTTAAAAAAATTTTTTTTTTAGATTTTATTTATTTGACAGAGAGAGAACACAAGCAGAGGAAGAGGGAGAAGCAGGCTCCCCACTGAGCAGGGAGCCTGATGCAGGGCTCGATCCCAGGACTCTGGGATCATGACCTGAGCCGAAGGCAGATGCTTAACTGACTGAGCCACCCAGGTGTCCCTAAAAAAATTTTTTTGAAATAGCATAGTAACATTATGATTTATATTTCATGACATGACAGCTTATTATTCATATTTGATATTTCTTTAATAAAGATATTTTTACTACTATAGCTAAATACTAATATGTATTGTGAAAGATACACAGATGCCCACTCACATGCACCATTTCTGTTTCTCAGTTTGTTACCCTAGAGTAAATATCCAGGAGCAAATACTGCTCTTAGAGTTCATTATATCTCACAAAACAAATCCTCAAAGATACTTTGTAAATGAAAATGTATAAAGCATATTTAAAAAAAATTCAAGTGCACTCTGTGTATTAGGCATGTATTGTCATGTCAAGATTCAACCAAAATCTATTTAGATTAGTTGGTTTTATTATGGCTGTATTAAATGCATCAAAGTTAGAGTCCTTCTTACCTGATTTGGGAGCCTTAGACTGTTGTTCAAGTGTCACATAATTCATTTCATTAGGAATTTACCCTTCAGGATAATTTTGAAACAATGCTGATAGGAATCTATTCATGGAGTCTGGTTGCCATCTACCTGAGAGACTTGAATACACACAAGTGTGAAATTGTGGAGCTTTTGCTCAATTTCAAGTGGCCATGGCAAATGGTCTAATTGCTTCACAAGACCTGGCATGTTGCCTTCATTCCAGAGGACTAAGTCCTGAGAACTCTAGATTGGTAAGCTCACTGCCAAACCTGCTAGGGTTAACCTGATGGGTGGGCTCACTTAGAACCGGATGTGACTAGCCACAAGAGAAAATAAGCAATATACTAAAATTGCTTATTATTACAACCAATAGTGATGAACTTTTAAGTCCCTATGTTGCCAGATAATTGGCCTTACTGTTAGACAATTTAATTAAATACTATGTAAGCCATCAAAATATAAATGCAAAAATACAGGGAACTGGTTGATGCTTTGGGAAAACAACAAAAAAAGCCAAATTATTTTTTTAAAATGCTGTTATGTGTGGATGAGAACCATAAAAGAGAAAACAAATATCTCAGAAGATTCTGCACTCAAATTGCTTCCAGTTTACTTTTAAAAAAGCAAAACAAAGGATCTTCAGACAATGCATTGTTAGTGTGGTTTGTGCAGGAAAGATGTTACATAATTCTCATAAACCGATTCAAACTCAAAAGGCCTTGGTCTTTCAATGGAATGTTTGTGAAGAAATATATATACAAGTGTAGGAATGAATGTGTGTGTTTTAAGTTAAAAATATTGGATACATATCTTCTTTTTATGGCTTTCTATTTTAACTACATTTTTCAAATTGTCAGTCACTTATCAGTCCAACTGCATTGGAGAAGAGCTTTTTCTGTACACAGGTGTAGTCACTATTGCTCTTCAATATTTAACGATATTCAGGAAATATCGGTATTTTTGTGATTGTAGTAGGCATCAGAAACTAATGATACACAAAATGGTCCTTCAAGAAGTTTACGTTTAGTAATGATTGACAATGATATTTTGGAAAGAAACAGTCCATGATGAGTCAACACCTTCAGTCTGCAGTGGGTCCATTGCAAGGAACAAGAAGGGAAAAAAGAGTGCCTTGTATTTTAGAGGTAAATAGCTGGAGTAATGCTTGTCAAGCTTGATTGCGCACACTGGATCTTATTAAAATGCAGATTCTGATTCATTACATCTGGGTAGAACGTAGAATTCTGTACTTCTTCTTTTTTTTTTAATTCTGTATTTCTAATAAGCTCTTAAATGAGGCCAAGGCTGCTGGTCTTGAAACCACACTTTGAGTAAAAAGACTACTCATGGAACCAAAGCCTAGGATCCTTTGAGACTGTCACAGTGACTTCCATTATGCTTTACATTTCTGATTACTTCAGGCATCACCATAAAACAGTGCTCTCTGTTGTCCTCTGTTGCCATTATGGTTCTCTGGCAATTCCCACATCTTGTGTATTTCCCTAGCTTGGTCAATTTGCCCACCTTGTCCATCGTCTTCTACTCTGCCAGCATCTACTCCTGTTCTTTGATCAGAAAACTCCTTTGTGTCAACAACCTGATCTCTGAAAGTTCTATTCTTTGCCTTGCCTTAACTCAAGCTAGACATCTATGGATACTTCTTGTTCCTATCTAAGTGCTGTTGTCTGTTTTTTCTAACCTTCTTGTGCTTCAAACTGAGGTTTTGAAGTAGGTGTGTCCTTTCTACAAAAATGCCCCATGAAGACCATGCCATTTGGATATATTATCCTCCACCCTTTCTAGCTCTTGTCAGTTATAAATCTATAGGTCATTTCTCTTGATTCATTCCCTCCATTCATTAAATACTTTAGTTCTTGTTTGACTTTCCTTCTTTACACCCCTACTTCTATCACGCTCGTGGGTGACTTCAATGTTCATGCCAATAACTCCAGCGTCTGTGCTCTAATTACTAGACTGCCATATTTCCTTCCCTCGGCCACACCTTCTCTTGGCATCACTAGTAACCATTTCTTCTCTGACAGTTTGATCATTTATAAACTCTCTGACTAGCACCTCCTGTCCTTCTAGCTCAGTCATACTAGTTTTTCCTCTTAAAAAACCTTTCCCTACCTCTTTGAGACCTCCAAACCATTGATCTTGTTATTCACTATCATCAACTCTAGTCCACACCTACCTGCTGATCCAAAATGGTTTCAGTTTTTTAACATTATAATAATTCTCTACCACTTTCAACTCACATGTTCTTTTCTCTATCATTCTTACTTGAAAAATTCCAAATCCTGGATAAATCCAAGTATTTACAAAATATTTGCATCCTCTATTCCTGCATCCTAGCAGTTGGCATCCTGGAATGACACTTTCACCATCATCATTCTGGGAATACTCCTCTCTCTCTCTCTCTCTCCCTCACGTTGAGTCTCCAGTCTTGTGGTTTCTATGCCTTCCTCCTTCTTGGTTTGTGACCTCATTTTGGAGTACACCATGTGGTAACTTTCTGGGGAAGGGTTAAGGATGCATACTTTTTTTGAGAACTTTATATCTGAAAATACCTTTATTCTACCCTCACATTTAATAGGTTGCCTGAGTATAGATTTCTTGGTTAGAAATCATTTCTTTAATTGGTATTTTGAAGGTATTGCTCCATTTTCTTTTAAATGCCCATATTGAAAAATCCAGGGGCGCCTGGGTGGCTCAGTCAGTTGGGCGACAGCCTTTGGCTCAGGTCATGATCTCAGGGTCCTGGGATCGAGCCCCGCATCGGGTTCCCTGCTCAGCGGGAAGCCTGCTTCTCCCTCTCCCACTCCCCCTGCTTGTGTTCCCTCTCTCACTGTCTCTTTCTCTGTCAAATAAATAAATAAAATCTTAAAAACAAAATCCAATGCATTTTTTATTTTTGATCCTTTGTTAGTGATCTCATTTTTTTCTCTCTGAAAACTTACAGGTCTTCTATTTGCCCTAATATTCTGAAACTTCGCAGTGAGTGTTACATTGCTTTACATTTTTCTGTGCTCCTTAAATACTCATGCCTTTCAATTCTGAAAAATTTTCTAAATATTTCTTAATTTTATCTTTTATAGTCTTAGTTTCTTTCTGGAAATCGTATTATATCAGACCTCTAATATATTGATCTTTTAATATATTTGGAAGGGCACTTTGCTCACTTTATCCCATGTCTTTGCTTATTCTATTTTCTAGGAGGTATTCTTGATGTATTATTCTAAGCCGTCTACTAAGTTTTTAAATTTCTATCATTTATAATTCCCATGAGCACATTCTTATTCTCTGAATGCTTCTTGCATAAGATTTTGTTATACTATATGAATGAAATTTTTTCCTTTACCTTTGTAGGAATATTAATGATAGTTTTTTTTTTATTTTAA